GTGGGTATGAATACCAGCGAGAGAAAAATAAGCGCACACTCACATCCTCTGAACATCGTCGGGACCGGAGAAATTTGTTGAATATAACAGTATGTTTATAACGAAGAGGGTCAAGCAAGCGTGATATAAGACATTAGTTTTACATTGGTCTCACTGTGAGACAAGATCTGCGGATTTCGTCAATCTTAATAGAAACTCTATGCGGCAGATTAAAATTATTTTAACATCAACTCCTATGTTACTTGAAGAAAAATGGTGAAGTCTTTGATATGTGCAACACAATCATTTGTGCTTCTGTCCCATTTTCTCTTTTCTTCTCTTTGTTCGCTCATATGTTTCATCTATCATTGCTCATTGATTGGAACATTAGAGCCCATCAAAACTGTGACAGTCAACTCTGAAGCTCCAATCAAATCGGTTCTTGATATAGCACCCTGTATTTTTGTTGGAATAAGCAAGACCGATATGCATGAACGGAAACAGCAAAACGCGTTCACATTCAGAGTTGCGGGACGTTCATAAAAGAGAGGAGCTCAAAGAGAGATTTTATTGTAGTTTCTTTTGAAAGTTCTTTTTAACACTTATTAGTTTATATTTCGATCTTTCAATTTTTTCTCGATGATTACATGTAGACTCCTTGATGAAAGCTCACTCACTTTCATCCTCATCTCTCTGTTCTTCTTTTCTCGACAAGGACTACTAAGGTTAGTTGAAACATTGAAATAAACCTGAAAATAAAGTGAAATAATCTTCAAAGCCGATGTTATCTTTCCATTTATTCTCAAATTATTGTCCTTGAACAAATCGAACTGTAAGTATAGTTTCTTAGAATGAGTTGACTTTGACTAGAACGGCTAGCATGGTTCCAAGTTGTGCTTGTACCAGAGTACGAATACGTATTGCTGAATATGGCAAATTTTGCTCGATATCACTGATCCAATTATCCAGATATCTTGCAAGGATAATGTGAGCATCTTCCAGTAGTTTGATGTCCGCGGATGGTTGACTGAGTTGTAATACGAGTGCACGATCTAACATGCTAGCAATGAGCATCTTGTAGAAAACGAATATATAGAGCGCATCAGTCTGTTGAGCTACTGTGGCCGGTCGGAGTGTGGAATTGTCGTTAAGTATGGCTTGTCGGCGACTAGCCGCAGTTGTATTGTAGAGCTCCAGCAGCGAGCGAGATGCGCGATAGAAGGATGAATCAAGTGTCATTGCTGGCTGAACAAATTCGAGCAAACCCATTAGAATAGTGTTACTTTCATCGTCCTTATCAAGGCCTTGAAGAAGAACATCCCGTTCTGTTCGATTCGGAATAATCGTATCATTTGCTACAACAGGTGATTGAAAATAGGGTAGCTCTGCCATGAGAAAAATGGTGTTATTTAGACCAATTTCTTCCAGATAATCAAAACTAGTTCCACCTCCACTCATCATACTTACTGGATCGATATGTGTATACTTCTCATAATAATCATACGCATTACGTAAGCTCAATGGACTAAAAATGGCCGGTGCAAACTGGGTGACCCACGGAGATTCAGCTTCACCTTTGGCAAGAAACAAACCTAACGTTGATGGTAACTGTTCTAATTCAGGAAATATGTCCGAGAGAGGTTGACTAATGTAGTAATACATGCCACCGAAACCAGAATTATGTAAGCCATAAACAAAGTCAGGTTGTGTGAATTGGATAGCATTCATTAGTGCTTGTGTTTCGTTGGAAGGTGTGCTCCAACTATAATTTTTATGAACAATAGGAAAAGTCCATTCTACTTGTTCTTCTGTTCGTGGTCGATAGAAATACTGTGCGTAGTTACGAATGGTAAATGGACCAGAAAACCAACCCTCGTTCAATCGTGTTCCATCGGGATCGACGCATGGTAGTAAATGCCATGTATATGCTTCTAATAAATCGATGTGCTCAAACAGAGCATCAAGTAGAAAATCCACAAGCAATGAGCCAATTGGTTCATTAGGATGTGGACAAGCGTAGAGTAACAAAGACTTGGAGCCGTTTCCGATGCTCAACATTGGAATAGCTTCTCCATTCCGGGAATACCCAACGTTCTGATATTTTACAAGATTTGGATGTGTAAAAGCTACGACACGTGAATGGTTGAAGAGTTCATCAACTGTGAAGAAGCGTGAATAGTCAGGAACACTGTTCATTAGACTGTCACTGATTGTTATAAGTTTTGTTACTAGAAAAGAAAAGTTGAACAGTAGCATAGAGCTATCTTTCTATTGACGACAAAATTAGCTCAAATCGTATTTTTGATCTCAAATATAAAATATATTATCCAAAGAATTTTTCTTTGATATGCATGAATAACAGAAGTTTAGTCGTTTTTAGTACATATAAAACTTTAATATGAAGACATAAACTGTTAATATACTTTCTGAATCTGTTTAATACATGCTTGAATGACATTTAATGAGAAGTCAGTGTAAAATTCGTTGATTGTATTCTCTAGTTCATGTTATAATTTTGGATTCTTACTTTTAGCTTTCTGTTTGATCATGTTTCAGATCAATTTACTAGCATCAAAACCTCGTCCTAGTGCTGATTTTAACACTATCGAACTGACTTAAAACATGACCAAACAGAAAATTAAAAGTAAGAATCGGAAATCACAACGTGAACAAGAGAATGCTGTCGATGAAGCTCCAATTGGTTTATCATTAAATGTTATTTAAGCATGTATTACAAATACTCACCAAGTATGTCAACAGTTTGTATCTTCATATTAGATTTTTATCTGTATTATAAACGTCTGTACTTGTACTATTCATCTATATCCAAGAAAACTTCTTCTGACCATAAACTCTATATTTTAGATCAAAAATACGATTTGCTTTAATTTTGTCATTGGTAGTTTAATATTTCGGTAATGAAAGAATCTTACTTTCGTCTGTGCTTGATGTATATATCATCAGCAGTCTAAATGTACAGAAAATCAATAATATGCAGCTTTTCAATTTCTTTTAAACGTACAGAACAATGTATCGCCATACCATAGTATTAGTAGTTGCCATTCTGAATGTGGACAAACTCGTCGGCTCCGATCCGTTATCGTCGACAGATGATAAGTTTCTCAACATGAATCGCACGTATCGCGAGGATACCTTCTTTTGGTGTAGTTATTGCGAGGCTGAGTATGAAAACGAAGAACTATCGCACACTGGACTTTGTTCTATGAAGGGTGCTTATTCTCACTAAAAATATCTTAACGTCGTTATAATACATATAGAGACAAAAATGAGAGAAAAGAGACGTCTTAATTTACTCTTTTTTTGACGAATGAAAGAGAGAGAGAGGGTGTGAGATGTCGCACAGATGCATGTCATTAAATTGGCAGTAATCATTCGATATTTATTCGAACATCGCAGTCTAATTAAACACTAACATTCACACACTCAAGGTTGATATAATTGACACTATTTTCTAGATACTCTGTTACTACTATTTTATATTATCTATGATACCTTATGGTTCCTCATGGGTGCAAAATTGAGAAGTTTGAAATTAAACTTTTGTTTGTCAAACTCGAACAAAATTAGAAAACATCTATTGAACTGTGCCGATGCATCAGGTGTAAAAAATAGCGCAGATTAGATGAACCTGTCAGTATTTTGAATATTTTCATCTAAAACTTGATATAAGAAGAACATTTTCTATAGAAAGTTTCCTTGTCGAATTCTCTACAAAACGTGAATATTTTTATCATATTAACTAGTTTCCCTTATTTCAGAGACATGCGATACTCTAGACTGGTTCAGGAATTATAAATTTCAAAGACAACAGCTTGTCGAATTTTTTTTACTGCACGTATTAATTTTTGGATCATCGTCGTTGCTTTGGATGTCACTGTATTCCAAGTAATGAACTTTATAAATTCCTTCCATATACAGTAATCTAATGGATTAAGATTAGGACTATTAGGTGACCAATGGTCTTTATCGATAAATTCTCGAAAATTATCTGAATCCACATTTTTTAAATTTTTTTTATGGTTTTGAAAAAAATGTAGGTTTCTTCTTCCATAATGAAAAGTGAAGATTTGCACGGAGTACTTAGTTTACCAACTATTAAAAGATGGTGTAAAATGATTGACGAAACTGGTTTTATCAATTTAACAATATTACTTGTAATCTTGAAGTTAAAAAATAAAAATAAAATTTTTTAAAAAACGCAAAAATGTCGTGCCAACCCAATACGGGGTTCGGGATGAATTATAGAGCATCCTCGGAAACTTCAAATTTACGCGAATAGCATCATGCTTCACATCGAGAATAATGGAGAAAATCGTGATTCAAAAGCCTACACTCTCCTCTGATTCAGGTCTCTCTCGGCGTTCACTATTGTGAAGAGATAACATTAGGTTGTTCGAGGTAAATTATAGAGAGCCCTTGAAAACTTTCGATTGACATGAGTAACACTATATCTTGTTCATACAACAGTGGAGCAACTGACGATTCAAAAAAACGTTTTATTTGTCTCCTCCCTCCTTTATTATGCAACAATACCACTACCACCAGTACCAAATGGTATAGGTATTGAAAGTATTGATTGGTACATCCCTAGGTCGAAGGTTAAAGATCAGCACCTTCAACATCTTTTGGTGCTGAAAAAGTATTGAGATGATCTGAGTTTCAAATCAGCACTTTATGCATTGCGAGTAGCTTTACTTTTTTACACTTTTCAATTATGTAAGGATTAGAGGAATGTTTACTTCCATGTAATATGATATATCATTCAATGATTAATATTTTAGTTTTTTCTCTGTCGATATCAAGACTCGAAGAACAATATCATTAAAAAAGAATCGATCGATATAAGCTCCGAAATTGTCGTTCGTTATTTTACATCAACAAAACCGAAAATATGTTTCCTGCAGTCTTACTCGTCGTATTGTTATCCTGTTTGTTGTCAGCTTCGAATGCTGAAGATTTTGGAAGAGGTAAGAAAAACTTCTTAGGGCAGCTTTTTTGAGCTAAAATGTGAATACACACTGCGTCAAATACAAGCCCTATCACAAATTTTAGCTCTTTTCCAATACATTTGGCAGGTACAAAAATTTATCTTATTGTATTTTTTTCCCAGATTGCCAACGTCTTTAATGGTAGGATATATGTGATACAATGACGGAAGCCGATAACCATTAATCTAAAGTTACACTTACTATTACCTTGATATCTATATGTGAATGTCACAAAAGTGTCTACTATGCAAACGTATCTCCGGATATTTTTTATAATAGGAAAGACATAAGATATATTAGATGTACTGATTTTAATCAACAGATATTAGAAAATTCCTCTAGAATTTGAAAACAAGCTTTTAGATTCGAGATTTCTATTGAAAAGAATCATTGAATCATACTAATTAACCTTATTGGCATGAAACCTATTTGAAATACTCGTTACATACATATAAACTGTTATCTCTAGGTTTCCTCTCCAACGATTCAAGTATGACTGGTTTTTAGCTCATCTCTTATTGACTTCAGCAAAATGTTCAAATTTTAACAAGCTTCTTCAAAATATGTCACTATCTGCAGTTTTTTCTTTTGCTTTCATTAATAATCACTTAGAGTTTTGGAAATGAACTGGTTAGATATACTATGCATCACAAAAATCATGGCTTACCTAGTACTGTTGAAAGTAAATTTTAGACTATAGTGTGTCATGCGACAAATATTGACTCCCATATTCATGAAACAGACTCGAAAAATCTCAGTTTTCGATTCTACTTTGCCGATTATGTAGAAACTTTGATAGAAAACGATGAAAAAAGTATAAACCTTTTAGTTAACTTTTCTTTTTCGTCCTAAATGAACTACCTAATTAAGTGATTATGGATAGGATAGTATGAGAATCCAGTTCTGTATTGAGATCGACTATGTCCATTAAATGGAACACCTCGCTTCGTCACACTCAGCAATTGTCTCTTGTGCATTCTCACCTTTGTTGAATAATAAAATAGGTATAGTGTTTCGTTTTTTAAGTTCAAGTATGATCTATGGAAAACGGAGGCGAAATTTTTCGATAACTATTAGAGAATAAAAAAATTTAACTCGGTAATAAATCTATTATCTTTGATTCAATAATACACAGTAACGTGACACAAACTGAAACGATGACTGAATCAATCGAATTCAACTTTATCGCTGTTTTTAATCAATATTATTCAGATTCCAATCCTGAAACACAGAAACAAATGGAAACATTGAACAGAGGTTTAGTTGCAGTACGAACGAGTAATAGTCAAGTCTACATTAGCTGACGTTTGTTTGATAACGATCCTTCAGAGATAGACTTTGTTTTATATAGAGGCACAACGATAATTACATCGACACCTGTAATTGATCGTACTAACTTCACTGATAACACTAGCATGAGCAATGTGTATACAATTAAAGTAGTTTTGAATGGTGCAGAACATGGATATTTGGAATCAACAAAGGTTTTGGCAAAACAATATCTGTCTATACCATTGCAAATTCCGTCAGATGGAACAACTTCCGATGGTGTTGCGTACAAATACAATGCCAATGATTATAGCGTCGGTAATCTCGATAGAGACGGAAAAGCTGAAGTAGCATGCAAAACTGCTGATGGGACTAGAGATGGTATCAATGTCGTCATTGGTGATCCATATTCAGACTATCGAAATTCAAGGGACTATATCCTTACTGGTTCCGAATATTTAACTGTATTCAATGGTGAACCTAGAAGAGTCATGGCTACAGTGGATTTTGTACCTGCTCGTAGTACTGTGGCTTCATGGAGTGATAATTATGGGAATCATGTTAATTGTTTTGTCGCAGCTGTTGCTTATGTTGATGATAGAAGATCAAGTTTAATCATGGACCGAGGATATTATACTCGGTTAGTACGAACAGCTTGGGATTGTAGGAATGGAAATCTGACACGTCGGTAGACATTTGATAGCTCATCATCAACACTTGGAAAAGAGCAAATATGCCAGTCAAGGAAATCGTCAAATGTCAATCGGAGACGTAGACGAAGATGAGAAAGATGAAATATGTAACGGTGCTAGTGCTATCGATGATGATGGAAGGGGTTTGTATGCCAAAGGTAAAGGATATGGTGATGCTCTTCATATGACGGATATAGACCCTGATAGACCTGGACAAGAAGTATGGCAATGCTATGAGAGCACAGGACTCTATGGACAAACTGGATTAGCTTTACATGATGGTAAAACTGGTCAAATTCTTTGGGTATACCAACAATTGGAGATATAGGTAGAGCTATGGCTGCCGACATAGATCCACATCATAAGGACCTCGAAGTTTGAGGAGCATCTGGTGGTTTATACAATTTTAAAGGTATGCAAATCGCATCAAATCAGCCTTCTATGAACTTCGGTATATGGTGGAATGGTGATCTATTGTGAGAACTTCTGGATGGAACCAAATTAGATAAGTGAGATTATTCTCGCAATACAACAACTCGAGTGATTTCTTTCTATCGATACGGGAACGCAACGAACAGTAATGGAAGCAAAGCAATTTCGGCATTAGTAGTGGATCTGCTCGGCGATTGGCGTGAAGAGGTCATCTATAGAAGTAATGACAAGGGTGTTGAGTGGGAGTGATTTTGTGACTATGGATGTGTGTGTTGGTGTGATTGTAAGTGTTAGTGTGAGTGTGAGTTTACTTCTTCTGATCACTCAACCCAGAGCCCATAGCCACACTCTAACATGGATTCAAAGATCAACAATATAGTGATCTTAGTTAAAGTGTTTAATATGAAAATTCAATATCTTCAGCAAACTGTGACTTTCATTCTAAATCGTCGAAGACTTTGCTTGTCTGCAAGTTTCATACATATACACGAAATCAGAGTTTCAAAGTTATTTATCATTTGAAAAGAATTTTAAAAATACTTATCTAATGGAGTTGAGATTAATCGATTGTTTTACTAAGCTGTGAGTGTTGGTGGCGTGTAGAACCTTACTTCATTTCCACTCATACCCACACCTATAGCCACATCTAGAGATGCAACAGTGTTGGTGAATTCCAGGTTACTGGTCCGCATCGATAACCGTTCCACTGAGGCCCCGTCCATCAATAATCGGTTTTCATCGGTACTGGGTGTTTTTCATTAGGGAACAGGTTTTTTTCAAGAGTAACGATTTTTTCATAAAGCTTAACCGAAGATAATTAGTGTCGAGAAATTGGAATCTGCAATCAGTTTTTCAAAATTTTGAGTTTAACTTTTTTAAAAGTTATTGTTTTGGTAAAAGGTCATTTTTCTAGAAAACAATGCTTGTTTGTGTGAAAAAGTTTTGTAAGCAGAAGAAAAATTTTTTCCAAAAACAAAAACACATTTTTAGCCAACAAATTGGTCTTTTGCTGGAATAAGCGTTTAAGAAAGAAACAATTGTGTGGAAAAAATTTCCATGAAAAGCTCGAACTACGAACTTCAAGAAAGTGATAACAGGTTTGGAATCCTTGAACTCGATAATCTTCGATTAAGTTTTATCGAAAAATCGTCACTTTTGAAAAAAATCCATTCCCTGATGAAAAAAATGAAGCTCAAAATTTCGAAAGCTAATTACACCTGAAATCGGTATAAGCCAGTAAAAACCGGTATAGACTGGTGTCAGCGTAGTACCGATGAAAACCGATTACCGATGGACCGGGTCCCGATATAACGGTTACCGGTTAAGACCAGTTGTCGTCACTGTTGTATCCCTACCACACCCACACTCACTTTAACTCCCAGTCCCACTCCCACTCCCACACTCACACCCACCCACACCCACACCCACACCCACACACCCATCCCGTTATTCTAATTCATTTATCTCAGAAGAAATGAATTATTCTTAATAAAGTAATTCTTTGACAATTTCTACCATTCTAAGCAGAAGTTTACTCGAGCTACTCTATCTATGTACATTCTTTTTTTTCTATTTCTCCTTAAGTCCCCACCTCCTTCAGAAAAGGGAATTGTTCGAGAAAAACTCAATTTGGAGATTCATACAGATTCGGATAGTCCTTGTAATGGACTTTAATCTGACATAATACTTTTGTCAAAAAGTATTTTAGTTTTTTTTCTGACCAGTTTTTTCCAGGAGCTCAGCTGAAAAAAGAATAAATTAAGAACTTTTTTTTCGTTTTTCCTAAAATCAGTTTTTTTGAGTATATGGTTGCCGTGAGTAAATCTTTTTTAGTAACGAATCAATATAAAAGTGGTAATCTTTTTTTCTACTACATAGCAGACAGTTAGGATTAGGTTGTATCAGCGCTTAATTTTCGAATTTCTCTTTTATTGAAATAATAAACTGAAATCTTTGATTTTAAGAGAGAGTGGGCGTAGATATGGGTGTTTCTGAAAATAAGATTCACACCCACACCCACACCCTGGCTATAAATTTTTTAGATCAGAATCCGAAACAGGGCTGAGACCAAATATGAGGTTAACAACTTAGATTGTTCAATATAAGATCACTGCTAATTACACATTGCTTGAAAACACAAAATAGGCTTCCCGATTATGGAGGAGATTTCCAACGCCAAAAATCGGCAATATCGTCGACTTTCTGCGCAAATTTCTAATACTTTCTGTCAAATTTTTTGAAGCTTCATGGTAAATTCAGGAAGAAATTTGACTGGTTCGTGCTTCTCGTCGTTTTTCTGATAGAAAATTGATTAAAAACACTTTCTGTCAACAAAATTTTCTAGAAACTCGATGAATTCATCATTTTTCTAGACAAGTTCTGTCGAAAACTCATATGTCGCACTTTCTCTCAAACTTTTATCCCTCTCACTTTTCAAAACAATCGGAAACCCTGAGGATACTAACTGTTTCTTCTACATCTGAACATCATTATCGTTCCCTAATCTTTTCTCATTTCTTCCTCAAATATCGACCATTCATTTGTTACATTTCTTTATTTTAAATGTCACTGCGAATTACATTGGAAGAAAATTGTGATCGAATGAAACGTGGATATCAAGCAATAAACTGAGTATTGCTGAAAAATTTTCATCTTTTTTTTTACGAATAATGATTGGAAAATTGATATCAATCCTTGTGAAAAATCATCGTCGAATTGACTAAGTTTGGCAATGATGTTGAAGAATAACTAAGCGATTATCTTTATGAAATGATTTTATACAATGATCAATTGAATCATCGAAAGAGAACTGTTTTTTCCTGACAGATATTAGATTATGATATTCGTCAGCGATTCCAGTTTGTGGTTAGATGAAACAAATTGAAAAATGCCAAGACAAAGGTTTTCGATAATAAATTCATCGAACTATTGATCATCTGAATTTTCATGTTCATTACTGTGCATATTTTGGTTGATTAGGTAGCGAAACTTGTTAGAAACCAACTTGATTTAACTTAGGAATGAAGTAGTCCCAATAAAACAACTAAATCTTGTATGTTAATTAATAATATCAAAGCAATATCTGGTGAAATTCTTATCCATAGAACGAATATAAATGAAATACTGATGGAAAAAAATCTATGTATTTGCATAGTTTTTCAGTATTAAAGAAATTGTTTCAGTATTGATTGTGATGGACAAATGAAAATATCGAATAATAAGACGCGGATAAGGACGAAGATGAATTGATTGCTCATTTACCTGCTATACGACAGTAAACCAACAATCTACGATCATAGATCAACTCTTGTTTTATCACAACATATCAAAGTAAGCTGAATGAACCTGTGATCGATTACACAAACATGTATAACGCCGATTCAAAAATATTCTGTAGTATGACATAAGTAAGTAGTAAGCTCATCAGTAAGATTGAGTCATCATAGTTGGTCGACACATTAAAAAAATCTAATGAAAAGACAGATTGAACATTCCGCGAGAAAACAATATCAATGACAACTCATAAATCAATATGTTGAAGAGAATGTCACGAATGTGTTGTTTACTTTGTTCACCTCTTTTTGTTTCGATTGGTATTGATTACAAGTAAGATCTGTACGTTCATCTGCTAGTTGAATAAGAATTTCTTCTACTTTTTTGTTCAAGACTATGATTCCATCATTATATGAGCATGGAACATTACATTATCAGGAGTATTTACAAAGAGGAAACTATCTAGGACGATCATATATGAAAAATCTAGACCATTTATTCAATTTTTTTACACACAAATAGAACATGGACAAAACAAAACAAGTGAAAAAGAACATGCAAACGAAATACAGTTCTTCACAACAGAGCCTTCACTGTACACATTGAGAGAGTGACACCACTATAACGATGAACACATTTCGGCACAAAAAAAGTCAAAATATGAAAAAACGAACGAATACAAAAAAAGACTTGTTCAGAAGCAATTAGATGTAAAAGAATAGTTGCATCTAAAAAGTCATGATCGCTTTTCATTTCTCTCTTAACACAAAGCTTTTAGTTTTCTGATGAAGAAACAGGACTACAAAACATTCAACATAATTGCTGCGGTATTCGGATCTGAGGAATGTTGTCGCTCTCTAGTGAGCACATGATAACACGCACCATACATAATTACATCATGAGTTCATTACATTCGAACATCATCCATGAAAACATATAATCATCTAATGTGTGATGTTCTGTGTACACAAAGTACTCTCACTATTTTACTATTCATTCCATACTTAGATAGATTTGTCATTATCAAATCATGACTAAGAAACGCCTGTCTCACTCGACTCTGAATGACAATAAAACAGAGATCGGATGATCAAGTATACAGAAATACGATGATCTGACCAGGAAACGAAAGAAAACAAGCAACTAACCAAATGGATAACTCAACTTGTACATACAGTAGTGGCCAAAAGTCCCGACCCTAGAGGATCTCAGCCATTATAAGTGCTGGATGTCTGAAAATTTGTGTGCGCATACTCCGTCAAGAATGCAGGTCAGAGACACAATTCTGCCTCGATTGCTTCAGTATAAAGAGAATTATGATAGATGGTATCTATTTTTGTATTGAGATTTTTAACCTGAAAAAGGACTGTCCACTCAATTTTACACTATTTTTTTACCAAATACATAACTAAATTTTGATATTATTGCATGGAATTGGAGCTCAGCCTATGATCTTTCTTAAGCCAAAATATGAGTTCATTTGTTCGAATATTGGCGTTTCTGCATGTCTCTGCATCCTCAGATTCACCAATGCGATGGTAATAGCCATGCTATTTTCCATCAGTACACAGTTCATTTATGAAACTTATGGACACTAATGTGCAACTACAGGAGACGCTTTTGCAAGAATTTGAGCTTCATCCACTAAATTGTTACTGAGTTACCGTCTTAAAATGATACCAGAGGATTTTTTTCCATATCATCGGTCATAGTAAATTGGCCATAATTCTAAAGAAAATTGACAAACTGCAATAAAATTAGTTGCGTGGATAGCTGAAACACAGCGCTACACAATGAACCATTAGCTGACCTACGAAGTCCAGCTTTTCCAGAGTTATGAAGTTCAAAGGCGAAATATGTGTCATTCATTGTCATCCATCATAATTCTCTTTATACTGAAGCAATCGAGGCAGAATTGTGTCTCTGACCTGCATTCTTGACGGAGTATGCGCACACAAATTTTCAGACATCCAGCACTTATAATGGCTGAGATCCTCTAGGGTCGGGACTTTTGGCCTCTACTGTAAATAGTACACAAAAAAAATAACAGAATTTCAGATTCTAACTCTACGAATATCTAAAGCACCCAGTAAATGAACAATTGATATTAAGGTTAACACTTGCACTCTCAACTGATGTATCACAAATCCCCATCTATAGATCTCTAATGAACCGTTATGTAGCATCATCTAACTTCTGCTCTCTAGATACATTTTAATCTTTGTGAATTTTAAGATCAACATGCTCCATCTCCTCAGCAAAACCTTTCCGAAGTTCAACAAGCAATTGCTGATTATTAATAGATATCTGCGTAACTCCTTCTCTCTCATAAACCAATATTTTATTTCCAAAGACAATGGCTGCAGCTCCATTCAAAAGGAAGGCATAAACAACGGCAGGTAGCCATATTGACTCTGTTGTGTCCATATAAACTTTCAGAAGTCTTTCAGGTGAGATCGATCTCGTCTCGATTCGAGCAAGCGAGAACGAAAAAAAAATTACAGTTACATTTTCTCTTTCACATAGCCAATGATATGTTCCGTTGTTTTAATTGAAGGATGTTCTCGTGGAAGCGACTTTTGTTTGATGGCGAGTGACTTTTCTAAGAATGAGAGTGCTGTTGAGTAGTCTCCTTTGCCGAAATACGCCATACCGATGTTATTGCACGAAGTAGCCAATAAGGAATGATTCTCAGGCAGAACTTTTTCTCTTATTTTAAGTGATTTTTCGTAAAATTCAAGTGCTTTCGAGCAGTCACCCTTGTTGTGATGCACATCACCGATGTTGTTGTATGAAGTAGCCAAACTGGGATAATTCGGAGGCTGAGCTTTTTCAAAGATGCTAAGTGCTTTTTCTTGAAATTCAAGTGCTTTCGAGTAGTTACCCATTTTGCGAGACAGTACAGCGAAGTTATTGTAGGAAGTAGCCAAATTGGAATGATTCGGTGGCAAAGTTTTTTCCCGAATTTTAAGTGCTTTTTCTTGATATTCAAGTGCTTTCAGGTATTCACCCATGGCTTGACACACTCCGCCGAAGTTATCGTAGGAAGTAGCCAAATCGGGATGATTCGAAGGCAGAGCTCTTCCAAAGATTCCAAGTGCTTTTTCTTGAAATTTAAGTGCTTTCGGGTAGTCACTCATGTTGTAGTACACTCTAGCAATATTGTTGTAGAAAGCAGCCAAATCAGGATGATTCGAAGGCAGAGCTTTTTTGAAGATTTTAAGTGCTTTTTCGTAAAATTCAAGTGCTTTCGAGTAGTCACCCATGTTTTCATACACTTGACCGATGTTGTTGTAGGAAGTAGCCAGTGAATGATGATCTTCTGGAAGAGTTTTTAGCCTCATCTCGAGGGATTTTTCGTGAAATGATGCTGCTTCTTTGTATAGTCCGTGATGGTGTTTCAGCACTCCAAGATTGTTGTAAAATGTAGCTCTAGTATCGTCGTCGGAGGTTTGTTCGAGTAGTGTGGTATACAATTTCTCGGCCTTGCTATATTGTCCTATTTTTGATAGCAATGTACCCAATCGTCCCCAACATGGCTGATGTGAATCTTCTCCTAGTATACTTTCTGTGAGTTGACGCAGTTGCTGGTCTTCATCCGACGCCAGTTTAAGTTCTACTTGATATAGTAAACTTTCATTGTCAAGTTTTCTAATTTCACCAATTCGAAAAACGGTATGCATAGAGAAGAGGATTTCACTTTCCTCCGCGAAATTACTCACTTCCCGGATAGAGGCAAATGGACTTGATAAGATGGCGGGATCTATCGACATTTGAAATAGGATACCCACCATACCGGGTTTTTGTATGGCACTTCCAGCAAAAGCAAGAGAAGCAGCTTCATCTGTACTGGTGGATAAGAAATTATTGAAGGAAATAAGTCCACCTTTGTTCTTCTGGAGTTTGTCGAAGTCGACTGTGGATAATCCTTGTCCCCGAAAAACTTCAAAGATCTTTCCATGATAAAGATTGATCTGTTGTTTGTGTAAACTATCAATTTGTCGATGCAAATCAGCAAGAAAAAAACCCATTCTTATAATTGTCTCACCATCGAGCGTTCGAAGAGACTGGTTGAGCATCTCATAAAGAAAACACTCACGACTGTACCACCAAATTGCTGATTGATCACTATATTGAAGTTCGAACTCAGTAATATCTTTTGCTTTAGCTTTGTTATTCTTGTATTCGTTTCGCCAAAACTGAATAAAATCCTTCTTGGCTTGTTCACCATGTTTCATATCAAGAAGAATTTTCTTGAATATTTGGGAGTACATGAAAGAGGATTCAAGCTGATTGAGATCTTTGCTGGAATCTTCTTCATTAACACTGATAATGCTTACAGATATGTCATCTTTATTGCATTGCTTGACAGCCATTTGCAATGCATCGTAGATGGACGAAATTTTTGTGTATGCACCCTTAACTTTGTTCCCATGGTTGCTCCAATCTTCTTGTGTAGTTTTGCTACTGCAATCGATGTGAATGCTACCGAGTTGAGGAATATCATGGATAAGATCTACCATTTGTTGGCCCATAGCATCCGATACAATGAGAAATGCTTTTCGATCATCGACTTCAGTGAGGAAGTCAACACATTCATCACATTGTGTAAAGATGTAGACTTCATCGGCTACTCTTCGCAGTTGTTCGAGTGTATTTTGGTAGTCTTTATTTGCTCGACCAATGTTTTCATCGACCCACAGGATCAAATAATTCTGAGCGATGTACCGTGTTGATTGCATGGTAGTCGATGGAACTGTTGCATTTGGATTGGTACCCATTGTTGATTTGGAAATATTTTGTTTTGATTTTTGTTCATTCATATTCATCCTGAACTGTCGTTTATAAATCAATCGAGAATGGTAGATAATTGTTTATATAGCTATGAATGATTAAGAACATGACGTTATGAAAATTAATTTCTCTTGTGCAAGTACATGTTTAATTTGTTTCTCGCAACAAAAAAAAACATTTCTGTACGTCAGAAGAAGAGAAAAAAACAACATATGATTCACATATATGATTCACATTTGTGCACTCCTCCATATAACATTATATCGAGAGGGTTTCTTTTTTCGTCATAGATTATTAAAAAATCAAAAAGAAAAAAAACGTTCGACATATCACAATAAACAAGCTAACTAAAGGCAATTCTTACTGTACAACAGAATTCAGTTTATACAATAATAAATTTTTCATAGAATGTCAATTTAACAGAATTAAACGATATGAATAAATGAAAGATCTAAAATGAAAACTATTTCTTGTTGTTATTCAATTATTAGAGCAAAATCTGAAAAATATTGGTAGTAGTTTCGATCTAAAAATATCATGATGATTTATTCAGTCCTCTTGTAGTCACATATCTACATTTCTTATCGAAAATAATTTCATAAGAGTAAACACAAATTTCCTTGATTCAATATTCACTATTACTCATCTAATTTGTTAGAATCTTGAATGACTTGTTTTTATGTAATTAGCGCAAACAAACCACTTTATATGGATATGATAGAGAATTTCTAACAGCTATTAAATAACAGTTAGAATTTGAGGTCGTATTAGCATTAATCATTAATGCTAATACCAAAGCATTAGCCTTAGTCGTTAATACTAATGCTTTGGCATTCATGGCATTAGTGTTAATTAATATATAGGTGTGGCATTAAATTAGCATTATTTTTAATGCTAATGCATATACTTAGTGTCAGTTCTAGATTACTATCTTGACATACTACCTTTATCTTTTAAAGAGCTATATAAAGGGACTCTTGGTAGCTTTTCAAAGGTTACATAGGGATGTTATCGGTAAGTTTTCAACAGCTACCTAGGAATGCTTTAGGTAATCTTTCAAGAGCTATTTTGGGGTACGTTTCGTAACTTTTGGAGAGCTACCTCAGGCTAGTGTCGGTAACTTTTCAAGGACTATCTATGGTTACTTATGGTAACCTTCCAAGGGCTATCTGGGGATACTCTTGGAAACTTCTCAAGAGCTAGCTACGGGTACTCTAACTAACTTTTCAAGGGTCACCTAAAAATGTCATTGGTAGCTTCTAAAGGGTTACTTATGGATACTCTTGGAGAACTCTCAAGGGTTACTAGGAGACACTTGTGGCAAATTTTCAAGCTCTACTTAGAAGTACCCTTATTGACTTTCCAAAGACTTTTTAGGGGTGTTCCTAGTAACTTTTCAAGAGCTATCAGAGGGTACTGTTGGTAACTTTTCAACAGCTACCTAGGGCTATTTTTGGTAACTATTCTAGAGCTAACTGAGGATGTCTTGGATAACTTTTCAAGGCGTATCTGCGACCGCACTTGGCAACTTTACAAAGGCTATCGTTGATACCTTTAGTAACTTTTCAAAAGCTATCGATAGACACCCTTAATAGCTTTTCAAGAACCATTGGAGATAGTTTTTACGATTTTCACCTACTACACAAACATTATAGCACTGTTCCATTTACAGAATCACTCAGGTAAAGTGCATAATCTATATACCGGGTGGCCGGAAAGCCACCTACCAAAAGTAAACTCGAATATCTCAACCGTTTCTTGATGAAATCTAGTAAGTTTTTTTTTGTTTGAAAGAGCAAGACTTGAAGTTTTTTCCTAAACATTTCAGATCAACGGTATGGTATACTCGAGAGAGACTAGAATTCAAGTAGTGCTTTTGATGGCAAAACTCGAGTCTCCGATAAGAGTTATTCGAGAAATGCAACGCCATGGTAGTAGTAATGTTCTCGAAAGACTTGCTATTACCTCAATCTACCAAAAGTTCCTCGAAACCGGCTCCGTCGAAGACCACAGTCGTTCAGAAAGACCTTCTACAATTACAGATGAGATTGTCGATGAGGTCGAAACAATCTTGAAAGAAGAGCCACTGAACAGTGTACGAAACGTCGCACGTGCTGCAAGCCTTTCCAAGTACCAAGCACATCGTATAATGCGGGATATTCTTGATCTCAAACTATATATGATGCGGTCGACTCAATTTTTATACGATGAGGACAAAGACCTCTGTGTGGAAATGGCAGAAAAACTGATTCCGATCCTCGAAGATCCATCGAACGACGGTTTAATCTTTTTCTCGGATGAAACAACATTTTATCTATCAGGCCTTGTTAATAAGCACAATTGTCAGATATGGTCGTCAAGTAGTCAGTTTGCGACTGTCGAGGAAGCAACGAATTCTGCAAAGATTAATGTGTGGTGTGCGATGTCAAGTACACAAATCATTGGACCATTTTTTTTCGATGTTGACACTGTTAACAAGGCTGATTATCTGGATATGTTGAAAAACTTTTTTCATCCAATCATAGGACGAAAAAAAACTCAACAAGAGTATTTACTTTCAACAGGATGGTGCTCCAATCCGCTTTTCTAAAGAAGTCCATGCCTGGTTAAAAGAACAATTTGACGAAAGATGGATCGGGAGAGGCGGTTTCATCTCATGGGCTCCATGTTCTGCCGATTTGACAACTCTAGACTTTTATTATGGGGTTATGTTAAAACATCCATTTACACAACACCTGTCAACAATATTGATGATTTAAAGGCAAGAATAACGGAGGAAATCGAAAATACAAAGAAAGAAACTTAGAACAAAGTATTCTGTACTATTGTTAAACGAATGAAATTATGTATCAGCGTTGCTGGTGACTCGTTTGAGAAGTATCTATGAGAATTTTTTTGAATAAAAACTTGAAGTCTTGCTCTTTCAAACAAAAAAATCATTTATTAGATTTCATCAAGAAATGGTTGAGATATTCGATTTTACTTTTGGTAGGTGACTTCCCGGACACCCGGTATATAATGTTCAGTGTCGGTGTGTCTGTCTGCGCCGAGTCAAAGATTAATGGTCATATAAGGCTATAAGGAGAGGGTGTGGGTATGGGTGTGGGTGTGGGTGTGGGTGTGGGCGCGGGTGTAGGTGCGGGTGTGGGCGTGGAAGTCGGTAAGAACTTAAACCTAAACCTATACCCACACGCACATCCACACCCTATCCACCCACACCCACATCCACACCCTATCCCCCCACACACCCACACCCACCCACACCCACCCACACCCACACACCACCCACGCACACCCACACCCCACACCCACACACCACCCACGCACACCCACACCCCACACCCACACACCACCCACCCACACACCACACCCACACACCACCCACCCACACACCACACCCACACACCACCCACCTACACCCCACACCCACCCTCATCGTTTTTCAAAACAATTCGAATAAATTGAAGAAAATCGATCGTTTTTGTTCCTTTATCAAAGTTTTAGTCAGGAGTTGAATTGAAGACGAATATCAGAATCAAAAAAAAATCCAAATAGTTTCTTTCGATGAAATTCGAACCCAAGAAGAATCTCTAAGAAAACCATCATTCATCATGAGAATCATTTCGTAAGATAATGTCACTTCATTCGAACTTTTACAATACACATCATTCTGTTTCATATAACGGATGTCCCAGGTGAAATGGCACTAAATCTCAGCACATTTTTCTCTTGTTTCCTAATATTTATAAAAATTCCTTTTTATGCCAAAAGATAAAGAATTTCAAGCTCTACAAAACTATATAAGTTTATATAGTGTTACATCCTTTTAAAACGAATGAAAAACTGTGAAAAATGAAGACGTGCAAAATAATCCACTGCGATCATATATGTGTTGTATGCTTTGATAAAATGTTGGACAATTTGTCAAAAAAGCGTTTGAACTATCGATCCGACGACTTTTGGAAGATTGTAGAGTTGTAGAGCGGACACTACTCTATAAGCTTACATACACGAAAATTTTAAGTCGCATGTTGTCAAGTTTCTATAATGATTTTAGGAAGAATTTCCAGAAAAAACAGAATTGGAGCGAGAAGTTTAGTGGTCTACTTGCATTCATATTTAGTCTTTCGTGACGTTTTGATTTCAATTCAATAGCAAGGTGCATATAAGTCTACTGCATATCAGCCTGTAGAACAATGTCTGCTCTACAACTCTGCAGTCTCTCAAAAGTAGGGGTGTCAGTTTCGGGTTCCGTTCCTGGGAACGGGAACCCGCACCGAGTTCCGTTCCTGGGA